CCCCCTTGGAATAGGAATGGGAAGTCACCAAAGTTCACATATAAGTCATGGCAGGTGAGGGAATAATGTTAGCAACATACTATACTTTGGATTTTAGAAAGGGTAATGTTAAATTAGCTCTATAAGTTACTCTTTCTGGGACAGCAACACAAGCTCTAAGCCAGTTTTCATGCCAAAAGTGATTAAAGGGAGCACATATTCTTCATCACAGTAAAATCTGAGGTCATGCTTATGTCTAGGAGAGAAACTATACTAAGAACTGAAAAAAAGGCCCAGCACTATAATTCAAACAAAAGTTGTTGATGGCAGCAGCCTAGCTGATACCTTCCTCCAGGATGGTGTCACAGCTAGAAAAGGACCAGACCACATGGAGCTACTATGATGAGAAAAAGCAGAGAAAACATAAAGTTAGGGGCTGAATAACAAATACAAAAAATGGGCCAATATAGATAGAATGAAGCACAATGATGAAAAGTGGTCCTTATATCCTCCAGCAGCCTAAGCCTATAACTTTACATAACATAACTTTACAGCTCAGGATAAACTGAACCACTCTTAACTATAAGCTTTATCAAAAAGGAAGGTTTTAAGACTAGTCTTAAAAGCAGACAAGGTGTCCACCTCACTGACCTCACTGACTAAACCCGCTAGTTGGTTTTGCAGGAAAGGAGCTTGAAACTGAAAGGTCTGCCTCCCATTCTACAGTTAGAAATTCTAGAAACCCCTAATAAACCTGCAAATTGAAAGCAGTGCTCGGTTAGGAACATAAGAACTATTAAAACCTCTAACATGGAGAATTGATATTTAGGCTTTGAGAAGGAGGATTTAAAATTATATTCTAGAATTTCCGATGATGCCGGTGAAGGGAGGCTAAAATAGGAGAAATGTGATCTCTTCTTTTAATTTTTATTACAACTACAGTTTGTGGACCTCCTGAAAGTAAAGAATTACAATGGTCCAGCCTTGAAGTTACAAATGCATGAACTAGTATCTCAGCATCACTGGTCGGCATAATATTTCCACTTTTTACAACATTCCAGAGATTAAAGTAGGAAATTCAAGAAAATAGTTTAATGTGAGATTATTATAATTTTCAGAATTTTTGCAGCAGAGTGACTGTTCCATTTGTGTGACTGAGAAATAAATATTGTCCTGAAAGGTGTATGGGGCTGGGATGGGGTGGCGGGGTGAGTCAGGAGGGGATTAGCAAGAGGCCGCAGACCCTGAGGCAGAGGTCCTCGTTTCCTGGCCTGAGCCCCTGTTTGTCCTGCCTGACCTGGCAGCACTGGGGGCAGATCCCGCCTAGATACATCCCCGGTCCCACGCCTGTCTGAAGCTGTTAACCACTGGCTGTGAGTAGCTAGCTGGGCTTAGTGATGTCTGAGCTGTGGCATGGTGAGAAGGGGGGTTTCCAGTCATTTGTGGGATGGGGTTGCTGGCTTCTGTGCGTTAGTAGAGGATAGATTGTGGTAAAACAGACATCTGGAAGAACTGTAGGAGGTGATGATTAATATCTTCTGTTTGGCTATGGTCGTTTTTGTTTGTAGTTGCCTCATTTAAGAGGACAGGCATTTCTTTGAAAGACATGAACAGGTTTCTATGTTCTTTCTTAAATTCTGTGCTAAAAAATATGAATGACTTTTCTTAAAATTGTCCTAAATACATGGATACAACAACAAAACATACAACAACACAAGGTTCCCATTAAGCTGCATGCAAAACAGATTCATACCCCCTGAACTTTTTCTCATTTTCCCACCGTTCATTAAAATAGATTAAAGTTTAGATCAAATACAAGTATTTTATTGGGATATTATATGATTAACTAATAAGATGATTGAGTTTTCCTATTAACTGTCAAATAGAAGTCTTAAATGTGTGATTGTTTGAATTGCGAAATCTTCCTGGAGAGGTGGCGAAACATCTTCAAATCTTGGAAACCAGGTCCAGTGGATTTTTTATCTTTTATTTTTTTATTTTATTTTATTTTATTTATTTATTTGAACTTTTACGGAATACACTTTTTAGAGTGTTTATCTTCTGTCTTGTCACATTAAGATCAAATCTATGCTATAAATTATTTTTTTTTCTCCTTTCAGCTTTTTCATTGTCATTATAATGTCACAAGTACAGAGCAACAAACTGAAGTCTCTGCATTTAACCCATCCCCTTGGGGAGCAGTGGGCTGCCACTGTGCGGCGCCCGGGGAGCAGTGTAGGGTTAAGGGTCTTTGCTCAGGGACTCAGAGTGGCAGTCCGTGGGAGTGGGGCTTGAACTCAATACCTCTGGATTCCAAGCACAATACTCTAACTAGGCAACACTCCCCTACAACTTATATACGCTTAGTTTAATCCTACTTTACTTTTTAGTCTTAAATGTATTTTCTATGCTCCCACTTGTGTCTGCTTTCTTTTCATAGCCAGTTGGTGAATATGGACACCTTTATTTTGGGAGGTTTGAAGTTGTGCTGTACACATTCCATTTCCACCTAATGGTGCAGACATAAATCTATTCACTCATAACTGCTTTAACCCTCTTTTTAACTGTCCCTGATATGCATACTTTATGCATTGGTTTTCATCATGCAATTTATTCATAATTTTTTAACAAACCTCTGGAGGCTACACAGATCAACTGTACATATTAATACTGAAATTTTATCACACAAAGATTGGCAGTGTTTAATTTTTTTGGTGAATTAGAAATGTTAACATCAAATTTTATTAAAAAGATATTAATAAACTGAGGGCTTAACAAAAACATGTCTCAGGTTTTCATTTAAATGTGTTTTTAATGGGAAAAAAAAGTAAAAAAAAAAAAAAAGTCGAAGAATTATTATGCCAGTGATATAGTATTTAGCGTATAGCATTTTTCCCACTATCAACATGTTGATTCATGTGATTCATGAATGTGATTCAAATGACTTAATTTTCAAACTACTCAGAGCTCTTTGTTTGCCTATATAATCATGCAAAAACACTACGGCTTCACTGGTGCTTAAAGGGTGTTGTCTGCCTACCAACTGTGTGCACAACACTGTTTTTACACCAGAATCCAAAAGTCAACATGTCTCCTCTTTCTCCAAGCGGGTTGTTTGATTATCACTCTCCAAAAAGGAAAATTAAATGTAGGGTTATTTTCTCTTCTTACCCAAAAGCTTGGTTAGCTCAATTGCTTGTTTTCAGTGGCTTGTTATTATTTTTCAATTGCAGGATGGATGTCAGATTTCGAAGTAGTGCAGGACCTTGGGTGTTGTTTCTGTCCTGAATATAAAGACAGCAAGTTAGTGAAAGGCCATAGAACAGCAGAGATACAGACACAAAGAAAAGGTTTGCTGGTGGTGTTTGTGTTTCGTTTGATCGTTACAAATCAGACAGAAGGTAAACCCACAATTAGGTGTCTATATTGAATTGTTGCATAGATTAACCAAACTGTTAGAATCTAAGCAAGAAGATTGTTGCAACAATTTACCTATTTTGGTTTAACTTTGTTTAGGTGACTTTTAATCCTTTGGTCTGAGTTGATATTGTGGTAGATTAAGAATAAAAAAACACTTTGATGAATTTCCAACCAACTTTTCAATTATTTAATGATTCTCATAACTGAAAACACATCTTTTTAAAAGATGCTTTCTGATGTAAAAAAAAAATTTAAATACGGTACTAAGACATGACTTAATTGTGATAAATTAACATGATAAATTTCAATTAAAAAAATTGAAATAAATACATGAGTGACTGTAAAACAAGAATTCCTGATCTTGTACACTTCTAAATGAATATGTTTCATCCATTTACAGCTTGAGGATTTTGGGGTTCATATTTGAGCTCCTTCATTGGAATTCAAATCAATCTGAAAAAAAAAAAAAAATATATAATAATAATAATCTGTGTCCTAGAAGGAATATGTTAATTTTTTTCTATTTCATTTATATTTCTGAAGCCATTTTGATTAGAAGATAAAAAGAAAAATGATCTTATTTAGTAAAGGTTAGAGAAGGGCTGCAAAAAAAAAAAAAATAAATAAAAAATAAAAATAAAAATCAACTGCAGAAATAACAAGCAGGTATCATATATGAAAACGGGGGAAAAAAATCAAAACAGCAACAATACAAAGTTGTTTTTCCAAAATTGAAAAGATTGAAACTGGTCAGTGATGTTTTAAGGAGCTGATGGCAACAAAAAGATGCAGGTATTGACAGGGAGACCTGTCTTCTCCTGATCTCCATGTCTGCATTACTGAGTAGAAAATTCCCAGATAATATGAGATAATCTAAGTAAAAGAGCAATACAATAAAAGAATAATGGCTTTAGTAAGTAGGGAGGCAAAATACAAACATGTATTGATATTGACAACTTTAAAACTTCCACAAAAGTCCAAATGCTGAAATGCAATCCAATATTCTTAACATGCAAACAGTAGAAATATATTGAAACCTTAAAAATCTGTTCTGACAGAGTTACATGAAAATACTTTAGCTTCCAATCAAACCTTAAGATCCACTGTTCACTGAGAACTATGTCAGTAGATAGTTCTTTGAATGAATTGAAATCTATTTACATAACCAACTAAGTAAACAGATCCCCCTTCCTCTAAACAGAATTTTAGTTAAAATACAATAGCATATAAGATACAAGAATGTGTGCGTTATAATGCATTTTTTCAACTAATACTCTTGATTGCAATGAAATCGTACCATAAATAGCTGATATTGCATACATTACTAAATTCTTATTTTAAGTCTGTCTATGTGTTATGTGTTTAGAGAGGTATAAAAGCTGTTATAAGTAATCAGGCACACTAAATTGTCAACAAAGGCTGTTTTAATTTGTGAAAAAGCTACCGTACAGTGAGATAAAGTCAGTGTTTAGTGGGAGGGTTGTGGGACCTCTTTTGTCAGGCGTCATCTGTGTGGACCTTGTGGCGTCACTCCTGCCAAGTCTTATAAAACTGTCAACGCCTTTCTCTCACCTGGACTCACACACACCATCCCAAACTCCAGCGCTCTATAGGGATCATTTTGGCAAGAGAAACTGTCCGAGCTAAAATACGCGTCTGCCTGAGCGTTCCACTGGAAAACCTAAATCTGGTCATTTTGACTCAAAAAAGAAAAAAAAAAAAAAGGTTCTCGCATTTTTTCTTTTATGACTCTGGCAAATTATTCTTATTTCTCTGGCATGTGCAACATGACCGCAGAGCCTTCGCCTGCAGAGGCAATAAGCCCTGACGTCTTGTCTCCAAACATGAGCTTGGACTCGCCGCTGCCTGCGATGCTGCAGGCCCGGCCTAAGGACAGCATCCTGATCAAATCTGAGCCCCAAGGCAGCAGCCCCGGCGCAGAGGACGGAGGCGCGGTGCGCCACGCCGAGGAGCACCTGCCCACCGGCAGCCGGCGGCGGAAAAGGCCGGTCCAGAGGGGGAAACCTCCCTACAGCTACATCGCTCTCATCGCCATGGCCATCGCTAACTCCCCAGAGAGGAAGCTCACCCTGGGGGGCATTTATAAATTCATCATGGAGCGATTTCCTTTCTACAGGGAGAACTCCAAAAAGTGGCAGAACTCCATCCGCCACAACCTGACCCTTAACGACTGCTTTGTGAAGATCCCCAGGGAGCCCGGCAGGCCGGGGAAGGGCAACTACTGGACTTTGGACCCTGCAGCAGAGGACATGTTTGATAACGGCAGCTTTTTGAGGAGGAGGAAAAGGTTCAAGCGCACAGATGTAAGCACCTATCCTGGTTACATGCAGAGCTCCAGCGCGTTTACCCCGACCCCCATGGGGAGGCCCACTTACCCCAACACGCTGTATGCAGGGATCGGCTCAGGGTATGGATCCCAGCTCACTGCCACATCCCCGCATCCAGCGATGATGCATCACTACCAGACCCCCCCGGGAGTCGGACAGGGACAGTCGCGCATGTTCAGCATCGATAACATAATCAGCCAGCAGAGCGTTGCGCAGGGCGGTCCGGGCGCGGAGCTCAGCACCCAGGCGCTGGGTCTGAGCTGCGGGGACCTGGGGGCCATGACCTCCAGCTGCTCAGTAATCAGCACCGATCCGTCTGCGTGCTTTCAGGCCCAGACTGTGAACCCTGGAGCAAACATGCTGGGCAGAAACCCCTCCAACCTTCCTGCAGGGTATCCTTATTCCTCAGCATCCCCTCCGAACCTGCCCTCCATGAGCCAGCCCGGCTTCTCTCCCGGAGGCTCTCAGGTGTACTGTTCAGGTAACAGGCTGTCCCTGCCTCCACTGCGCCATGGATCCTGCGCTGATCACACAGAGCAGCTCCTGGGCCTTCCAAACCCCATGAACTCCAACAACAGCTACATGAGACAGGGCAACTTCACCACAGGATTAGAGAGGTATATGTGAGATAAGGTCTTCTAAGATAAAAAGGACATTTGCAGCATCATAATGGAATGAATGCATGAAACAAGCATTCATGCAAAAAGGATGTAAAGCCATTTATATCCGTTTGAAGCATTCAATCTTTATTTTTTAAAGTTGTTTCCAACTTTTTTCATAATTGCTGTTTCTATTTACATGTTTTGTGATGTTTGGTTTGCATATAGTTTAATGTAGCTTAATATGTTACAAGTATGATATTGCTCACCACCATGCTGGAAATAAATATTTTTTTTTTTAAAAAAGGAGTGTCCTTGGTTTGTTGTTTTAGAAACAAATTATGATTTCAGTTTTCTTCCTATTGGTCAGGAAAAAGGCATATTTTAGAAAACAAAGATCGAAGTGTATATATTGACTCGGAATAAGATTCAGATTAGAGGCATCAAAATAACAAGCTCAAAAAGATTAAATCTGAGTGGTTCCAGTACATTATGGCATGCACACTTAGAAAAATCAACATCAAAGATGGTCCAGTTTTTATCATTAGATGAAGCCTTTATACTAAATACTAGTGTGTCAGAAATAACCCAAACTGGTTTATTTCTAGCCAATCTGCTGCTGGGCTAAATTTTTGATCCAACAAACATTCTACCAAATCATGGATTGAATAAACTGCAAATTTGGATACCTTCCATCACATATATTTGTTAATAGAATCTACCCAAAGGGTGAGTAAATCAGTAAAAAATTGTGGGTTGTTTTAAATTTATAATTAGTTATTTCTTTTACCCCAATGCTGGGTCAAATTAACCAGTTTATGTTATGAGTTAAATATTCTTGTTGAGAAATGTTTTAAAATGCTTCATAAAATTGTCCAATACCTTAGTTATTAATAACATATTACATTTAAATCATTAGGAAAATAAATTTCAATAGATTACACATATCTATAACAAAATACATTCTAAATTCTTTCATGCAAAGCATGTTCTATGCTATAAACATGATACTGGTATATCTTTAGAGGATTCACCTTGAAATGTATTAATAAATTATACCCAAAATACAACAAGGAAACAGTCAAGTTGACCATGGAACAATTTCAGTTAGTATCATTTAAACAATGCACAACAGTGTGTAACGACTGAGAACAGCAACAGGCCAAGTGCCAAACAAGTATTTGAAGAAACATTACAATTCCCCTTTAGGCATTTGATAGACCGCTCTCTGCAGGAATTCCAACACATATTCACACTGCTAAAGGTGTTTATTGTGAAATCTAAAAAAATGCCCTGAAGCAAAATGGTTGAAAATGAATGGTTGAAAGCATTGTGTTGTGGGCCAAAGGCTGTCCAGCAGTAACAGAGGCTTAAGATGCATGCTGAACATCGTCAGCCTTTGCTTTTATAGGCTGGCACAAACTCCCATGCAGCAAGTGAGATGATTACAGGCCAAACTTGTGTTTTAAGATAAAGACTAGTACTTAATAAAATAATGCATCCGCTTTTGGCACTTACTTAATCATATATAGTTACTTTAACACAATTTTATATTTTTTTTAACAAAATAACAAACAAACAAAAAATAACACGCTGTTCCCGTTAAATTAACCAGGCTAATATACCTGCTGGCTGGAGAACCAGCTAAAAACCTGAAAATACACTCGACCAAACACACTTTTTGGTCAATTCAAGTCAATTATGGACTGGGGTAATTAGATCATTCAGTAAATTCTAATAACCAAATCAACCAACTAGCCTTGGCTATAAAATACAATACTTGCATGAATAAAATTAATGGAAAAAATAACCCAAGTCCCTTTAAAATAATCCTATCCTAATTATAACTCATAATGGGCAAAGAATTCCATAACTCGGCGTTTTTGCTAGATAATATAACCCAGCATTTTTTAGAGTGTTGATAAGTGACATTTCAGCCCCTGTCTACCAGCAGCACTGATCTAAAACCCGGCACAAGAACAGAGGCAAGTTATTCCAAACTATATTATAATATTATGCAAAAATGTTAATGAATATAAGTTCCATAACAAATGGCACGTCATAAATCACTGTAATAGAATGCTCAGATGAAGTAAGTTTTCCGAATATATTCATAACCTGTAGCGCTGCTGAAACCTGAATAATAATTATCGCTGACCATCATGTGATGGTACCTTGAGTTTTTTTTATTTTATTTTCTTATATATATATATTAATAATACAGCTTTAATGTTGAACTAAAGATCCATCCATCCGTCTTGGTGTCCACAGTCCACATGGATAACTTCTCTAACGCGCCAGATGGAATTTACAGGTTTAACCACTAGATGGCAGCAACAGTAAGATGTTCACTGGACCATCTCTGTTTTTCCTAACAAATTCTTCCTCTTTTATAGTATAAAGTACATGGAAGATAATAAAAAAGAAAAAAAAATCAGCCGAAATTGTTTGATTTAGAAAAAAATCAAACAATTTAACAAAATCAAACAAAAGAAATCAAACAAACCCGTTCATATAGCCCTGTTATGTGCTGCTGACCCTACAACCACTCTCAAACACCAAGTGAATAATTTTTCATCGTTTGCTAACGTTCGTCCCACATTTATTCCATTTTGGGCTATAAAAAAAACTCATCCATAAAGAATATTTCATAAATGTGGCTGGAAATTGTGGATTTTTATAGAGACTCCACATAGATTTATATCCAAATTCGAACCTTAAAAAAAAAAAAAAAAAAAAGGGCCAGCAGGGGGCGCCTACACATCAAAAATCCCAGCAATCCTATCCGGAGCGCTAATAAATTGATAGACTTAATGAACCTTCACACTTGGGGAAAACAGAGCAGCTTAAGATGTACAGACAAAGAGTTTAAATTTACAAATCCCTTAATAAATTCTATTTATTAAAATGAGCATGTGTTTTTTGTTTACTTCTTTGGTTTTATTTTCCTACAGATGTTAAAATGCAAAAGACCGCATTGAGCCTCAATATTACGGAGCGGAACGCCCTTAAAAAACAACAACAAAAAACAAATAAACAAAAAAACTAAGTTATGTAAAGTATTCCAAATAGTTGATGCCAGTAAAACACATTTCTCACTGTCGATCTCTTATAATCAGAACAATTAACACGTTAACCACGAAGACAACACAAAAATACATTTATGAAAAAAGAGAGAAAGAAATAGACGAATAGCAATTAATAAGTATTACATAAACGTCAAATATGTTTTGCCAAGTACATAATTAAAAACCTCTTCATGGCTTCGGCTTTTTCACTTGAACCTTAAAAAAAATAAATAAATAAAAATAAAAGACAACATGATTATTAGCAAAAAAAAATCATAAAGAAAAAAAAATAATAGGCCTAAAGAAAAAATAATAGATAAAAAACATCTAGTGTACACCTTTAACCCATCTTTTATTGTAGGTGTCATAAAGTCCCTCACCCTCTAATAGAGCGGCCCTGACTGGACGCACCAGAGACAAGAATGCTGCAGTTTGATGAATGAAATGATTGCACACATCATCTGCTGACGTTATAATCTTGATGAGGAAAACTAGACACAGATTGGCGCCTCGATTTCCTAAATGCCTTT